GAAACAGGCTTGTAGGGATACTTATGTAGTTACTTGTTTTCTTCCGTCAACCATACGTATATATATATATATATATATATATATATATATACTAGTTTACAGCGTATTTTGGTATTGAACGGCGGGGAAGTTAATCTTGCCATGATGATATTTATATGCACGTGAACTATTTGCCAACATGGAATTTGAAACCACGTATTACAAAAAATACATGCAGCGTATTTGTAGGCCCGTCCCAAGGGAAAAAGGCGACCTCTGAAACCGAGATGATTGGAGCTTCGTCGGACTTTTAAAGAGAATGGGAGCGAGACGGGGAGGACTGGGCAAAAATCCCTCAAACCCAGGCCTAAAGAATGTATAACGTTTGTAACGCAATGCGTGAACAGGAGATCGAAACAGCTGGGAACAGCATAAGGAATGCGACAAAGGAAAAAACAACCTCTTTTCAGATCTCAAGCCTGATGCGAACAATAAGGGGAGGAAGGGACATACCGGCGAAACGGAACAAATGAAGAAAATAATAAGATAAAGAAAAGGCACTCTACCTGAAGAACTGCGGCACCCAAACGGCGCTTGACGTACGGTAGACGTAGAAAGCAGGCGACGACACGACGACAGGACTGCACCAAGCGATAAAAAGGCTTCCAGCGGAAAGTTTAGCTGAAGAACAGCGGCCCCTAAACGGCGGTAGACGTAGAAAGCAGGCGGCGACAGAGTGAGCTGGGCGATGAAAAGGATCTGAGGAACCTGACCACGGAGATTGGTTGCCAATCCAGTTGTGGCCTTCCCTGCGTTCCAGAGGATATATATATATTTTTTAACGATCCCGTCACGGGAGCCTTATCAAACCGTAAGCACTGTGTACTCGCTGAAAAAAGACGGTAAAGAGCGTGGTGCCAAAAATGGAGAGATCACGTACCACGAACTGGATTTTTGGGCTGACTAAAAACTGACCGAGCGAATGGAGAGACGGTAGAATGCGCGATGGCCGATCACGGAAGCAGGGTAAAGAGAGTCTCTCAAAAATTTGTGGACTCAGCCGGGGATCTGCGTAGAGCGTCGGTGAAAGCCAGAACAAACCAACGTGTAGCACGTGTACGGGGTCGAGGATCCAGGAAAGGTGCAGATGTACTTCGCGACTGAAGGACAAACCGACGACAAATGGCAGCTAAGCCGGTTAAGCGAAGGAAGAAATTAATCGAAGAGGACTTGTAACTTTAGGCATCTAAAGGGGATGCCGCATTGTAGCAGCCGCAAATTGTACACAGGTTAACTGTAAATGACTCGGCAGAACAAAATTACTGTAACTGTTTGCTTTCGTGCAAGCTAAACGAATAATGACCAGGTCTACAATAGCAGAAGTTTATAGCTAGACAGTGTCTCAAATCTCGACCAATGAATACAGTTGTACCATAAGCTACCTAGTCTTATCATGATTAAAGTCTAGCCATGAATAGGGCCTTGAAAACAGGGACCAATCTGCGCGATGCTAAGAAAAATATGATGACAAACATACGACAAATTAGTCAGGTTCCAACCACGAACAGCTTTTGTTTGTATCTTAAAATTAGCATGCTTTCATTCATAAATAAGGCTTTAAAGATCGAACAGAGCATACATTGGGGCAGGCTACCTTAGCCTACCCCCCTGGGGCTTCATGTTCCATTAACTGCATTTACCATCTGGTAAATGTCTTATAAAATTTTCAAATATTGGTATAAGGCAACAGGGTGCAAAGAAAATCAGTTTTGTGGTTTGCCATTCAGGCAAGCTGTAGTTAAATAAAACATGTACTTGCCCAAGAGTCATTTTAACTATAGCCCAAAAATATATTTTGATGAGCAGGATTGATAACAGTTCTGTAATTTGAATTCTCCTAAAAATTTCACTCACCCATCAGGCAAGTTAAGAAAAGAATTCACTTGCCCGATAGCAAAATCCACTAGCCATGGGCTATCGAAAGCGACTTTCTTTGCACGTTGGGCACCCCTAGTTATTATTAAGCTCTGTTAGTAAGAATAATAATTACGACTATCTTTAAGCAATTTTACTGTCACGCCAGTAAAATGTAGTTAATGGAACGTGACGCTAGTTACCAATAACCCATTCATGGCGGCTCTTTTTCAACAAAGCAACTGTGTAGTCAAGCTGCCAAGGTCAGTGAACTCTAAGACGCATTGTATTCTAGCGTAGAACTTCCGGCCTTGTTGTCCTAAGCAGGCTAGTACGAGCCACAGCATTGGCCAATATTTTCAAAGCACTATTCATGGCTAAGAGTCTGCACATGCAACTCTGAACTGTCTTATAGTACAGCCTTTACTACTGCCTATGCCAGCAGACACGCGTCTAGCTATAAAAGCCTAGTACAACTGTTCAGAGTTTACTTGGGTTCCAGTGTTCAGCAAGGTTTAAATGCTAAGTATACTATTCTTGTAAAAATTTTTCCCTCCCTCCCTCCCATTGGAGACGAGGTTTGGGCTTTGTTTTGTGCTACGCCTTCAAATAAACTAGGGACACTCCTCGCAGTGCGGTTAAGTCTGCGCAGCGACTTCCCCCAAGCTTGTTGGGCCGCATTGCCGTTTAACATCGCCTGCAAACCGATACTCTCGTCCGATCTAACACGTGCTGTATTGCATTCAGCTCGTAGTGCTGGGGAGATAAGTGAGGTTCTTTGCTCACCAGTACTCTTGTCCGATCCAGCACGTGCTGTATTACATTCAGCTCGTAGTGCTGGGGAGATAAGTGAGGTTCTTTGCCCATGCCATCGCCGGAAGTCGCACAGGCTAACCTAGCGCAAGGCAGTGCTCCCCCATTATCGCCAACTTGTCATTATTTGTTTTATAATTAAGTCACTTCGCGTTTAGCATGCATCATAAAGGAGCAGAGACATTAACTGTCTTAAAATACAGCTCTGATCTTGTAAATGGACAGCTCACCTCAAAATCTACTTCACTGGACTGGATTAGTCAAGTGAAAATACTGTTTTGCAACGTTATTTATATGTCAAGTAAAATTCATATTTTTATGGTCATTATTCCGCAGGTTCTGTTGTCATTTTGCTGCAAAAATCTGAAGATTACAAAGTTCTAGCAGTTGGAAAAGTTGTTGAAGTTGATGCCCACATTTCTGTGCCAGAGAAGCATGTTCCTGTCTTTGTAGCATCTATTGAGGAATGTGCCTCTGCTATACTTGCACCTGGCAATGTTGTGTTTTGGCCCACAGATCTGCTTGCAGTGTACAGGTCTCCAACAATGGGAACTGCAGAAACATCACAGACATCCAATAGTAACTGCAACAGTAAAATTTCTGACATCCCTCCTGGCAGTGAGGAAGATCGCTATCTCAATTATGGGTTGCAGGTTATTCAACTGGGAATGATGCTCATGCAGCTTAATGATACAGAGGGTGAGAGAGATGGAGAACGCAGCCTAATTAACTGGAAGATGCTTCTGTTGTATTTTAGAAGTAGGCCAAGAGGGAAAAAATATGCCTTTGAGGCAATGCGATTCATAACTTGTGTCAAGGGTTTATACACAGAGAAGATTGTCCATCGAGTGTTACATGGCCAGTTTGTAAATCCAAAGGGAGGAGAAGGGTCCAATTATGCAAATGACTTAAAAATGGAACACCTGGTTGGAGACAACAAGGTCTCTCTTAGGGGACTGTGTGGAAACAAAACGCTGAAAGCTGTCCAAAGATGTTCTGCTGCAGCATATGGTCTTAAAGAATGTTGCTCCTAGTATGACGATGAGTGTGGCATACACCCAGAGTCAACCAAGCACACTCATGCTTGTACCACGCAAGATGTCAAAGCAATGTTAACTATCGTGCAACAGGCTAAACCTTTTCAGTACCAAAAAGGTAGAACACTTCATTCATTTCCAAATGTAACAAAGAGTCCTCTTGACCAGTTGGATGTAGCACTGCTTAACACCTGGCTGACAAACCACAAGCACAAGCTTTTTCTGGTGTCCATGACTGCAATGAGGAAGACAATGATGAGGAGAATGAATTGAATGATGGTGATAAAAACACACCAGAAGAAGATTATTTGGATGATTAACGTATGAAATTAAAGTGCTTTGCCTCAGTTATTTCATAAGGATAATAGTGGCCCTTTTAAGTGAATAGTCATACGATATAAATGTGACAATGCTCAGGCTATTAGTATGCAACAAACAGAAATTACAATGTGCCTGACTTCCTGTTAGCTTGGCAATCAACCAACCAATAAGAAAATGGATGCTTACTGAAAGAAAGAAGTTATTGGTGGTTTAAGACAATCATGGTGAAGTTTGTATTTTTTAAATTTATTATCGGTTTATGTTTCACCACTTTGCAAAATCTAGTATGTCCACTATACTCAGGAATGCACTGAGACAAACTCAAATCACAATCTGCATAGATTTGTTGCTCTTTCATAACAGTAAACAAATGTAGGTCTGGTCTCCTTTAGCTACATTAGAAATAATATATTTCTCTTGTGGAATCAACAGTTGAATTTATAATTGGCTAGCAGAGTACATGAAACCTGACAGAAGCAAGAAAAGATAGTGATCACCCATCAAATACCACTTGTTTCCCCAGTTATTGTAATTCTTTTCTAAGGATAAAATTTCACAAAAAGATTTCACTTCAAATCGTTGTAAAATACCTTGCCATGTATTACCATGTATTGCTATGTATTGCTATGTATTGCTCTGTATCGCCATGTATTACCATGTATCGCCACGTATTGCCATGTATAGCCATGTAATGCCATATACACAGGAAAAAATAACAGATTCCCATTTTTGGGTATTTTAGGGTATTTAAAGAATACCCACAAAAATCCCAAATTTGGAAGAGTGAGACAAATCCCAATCAGGGAACTTGGTTGGGAGTTCCCTGGTTGGGACTTGTCTCACTGTATCGCCATGTATTACCATGTGCTGCCGTATATTGCGATGTATTACCATGTTTTGCCATGTATCGCCACGTATTACCATGTACTGTCATGTATCGCCATGTATTACCATGTATTGCCATGTATTGCCATGTATTGCTATGTATAGTCATGTATTACCATGTACTGTCATGTATAGGCATGTAGTGCCATGTATAGCTATTTATTGCCATGTATTACTATGTATTACCATGTATCGACATGTATTACCATGTATAGCTATGTATTGCCATGTATTACCATATATTACCATTTAGTATATACTCACTCAGTGATCTTGGTGATTTAAGCAATCTGATTGGTCCGCTATCTCGGACTATTCAACTATATTCACCTCCTAGCGAGTGGATAATGTGTGAGCTCGTTTTTTTTCCCATTTTCTTGGAGAAAGATCTGTTAAAAGCGACAAAATCCTAGGGTAGGCTTTTTCTCAGGCAAGAAAAGACTTCGAAGGATTCAAAACGGCGTTTTTCCATTTACTGTTGCTGAGTTTTGTGGTTGATGGATTGTTTACAACTCCCGTTTATTCGCCTAGAAGAGGCCGTCTTATGAACTCAGCGTTTCCTATAACAAGAAACATTTGGCCCAACAACGAAGTTTATTTATGACAAACAAATTTGAAAGCAAATGTTTGCAGAAATTCGTTCTGCCATGTATCGCCATGTATTACCATGTATTGCCATGTATTACCATGTACTGCGATGTATTGCTATGTATCGCCATGTATTACCATGTGCTGCCATGTATCGCCATGTATTACCATTTATTGCCATGTATTACTATGTATAACCATGTATTACCATGTACTGTCATGTATAGGCATGTATTGCCATGTACTGCCATGTATTACCATGTATTGCCATGTATTACGATGTATAGCCATGTAATGCCATGTATAGCCATGTATTACCATGTATAGCCATGTATTGCCATGTACTGCCATGGATAACCATGTATTACCATGTACTGCCATGTATATAGCCATGTATTACCATTTTTTTTAAACCGTTTTTATTGAAATTAAAGACAAGTTTTACAATGTTACCTAAGAATAAACAATAATTAAATGAATCAAATTATACAATTCTAGTTGAAAAAAAAATGTATTACCATGTATTGCCTTGTCTTTCCATGTATTGCCATGTATAGCCATGTATGCCCATGTACTGCCATGTATAGCCTTGTATAGCCATAGATTGCCATTTATTACCATGTACTGCCATGTATAGCCATGTATATCCATGTATTGCCATGTACTACCATGTATTACCATGTATACCCATGCATTACCATGTATTGCCACGAAAAATCGGATGGGTTTATAAATTGAAGGGCTTCTTTTCAGAATTTTACGGTATTGTGCTAACTTGAGACTATAGGAAATCCTAATTTCAGATTTCAGATTTATTTCTGCAATCTCGCATACTGTGAATTTACGCGCGAGTCAGTGATAAAATTTTATGCCTTTAAAATTGTTATAAATCTGTTCAAATAAAGAGGTTCTGATGTTTTCTTGAAATAGTCACTGTTCCTTACGCATGTAGGAATGCCGATTTGAATTTTACACTATTAGAGGGAACGACTCAGGGACTCATTTTTCAACTGGATAATCAATTTATTAATAGAATCTAGGGAGGTATGTTTGAAATGTCCAGACTGTGACAATAGTGCATTTGATTCATTGGTCCTTGTGGTGGACTTAACCCTCCCCTCACAGCCATCCTCTCCACCCATTTATTTATGTTTTCAGCGAGTTACTTCCAGTCAGTACAGGACTTGATAATTCTGCAACGTGCGGAAAAATTGATGTTTTCGAAACGCCAACATCGGCAAAAAAAAAAAAAAGATTTATGTACATGTAATTTCCAAAAGAATTGCAAATCTAGTATATGGCCTCGCTTTTAATGAGTTCTCAGTAGTTCAAAGTGGATAGAGAGCGCCAGCCTTGTGTATGGGAGGTCATATGTACGCATCTTGTTGGGGACTTAGATGTTTTCTTTGTTCCACGTTAGTGACATGCTGATTATTTCATTTTTACATAATTTCAAATATTAGAAAATTACTAAAAAATATCCGCTTTTTTCTCATTACCAATAAAAATCTGGAGTCTCTGCCCTTTCTGCACCTGATCTCATAGACAACAGAAGTTTACTTCAAGGGGTTCAAAAGGTCATGGTTCATGGTTTTTAAATTGGTGGATTTCGATCCGTTTTGTGTGTTTCTGTGTTTCAATGAAGGTTCGTTGTTTTTAAACTTTAATTTTCGCGTTTTCTCACGTGTTATATTTCTTTAGATTCCCAAATTGAAATTCAAGGATTTTGACAACGCAAGTCCCTTGTTCCCAGAACCGTTAGCGCACACATGTTAAAATTCTAATTTTGCTATTATTGCCTGTTACTGAATACGCATGCTCTGTTTGTCGTTATAGCTTCCCGCAACACCTTCGGTTGCCGTAGAGAGATGACAAAGGCGGTTTTCCTACGATGACAGCGCTCTTCATGACTCAGCTAGCTGCCTTACAAGAATGCCGCGAGTTCTTAAGTGACAACCTTTTATATTCCATTCTGTGTAATCCTTCACACAAGTGGTACAACTAGCTTAGTCTCTTCTAAGAACAAGTGCGAGATCAATTTAAGGGCTGGGTAAGCTCGCTTTCATCTCCCCCTACCCGTTCTCGTAATAGTTTTATTCATATTAATGTCAATACTACCGAATCCGGTAAGGGCCACTTAAATTTGCTCTCTCATTTTCTGATTTCGAGACCTTACTTTTAGCAATTTTTTTCTTCGACTTACATTATGACAGGTAGTTGTCTGCGAGCCTAAATACTCTTAAGTTAACGCAAACTTGAAGCAATTCCATATGAGAGCCAAACAAAGGCTAAAGGCTAAGATTTCTCGATGTTAAAGTCTTAAATGAAAACATCCATCGATAAGATTATCATACATTAAATACCTTGGTAGAACTGCTTTAGTTAGGGGCAATAAACCAGTTACAACAATGTCGCCACTATTTTCTGCAACTGACTACGTCTCTGAGCGGGCAGCGATGAAAACGGTCGAAAGAAAAAGTGGCGAAAGAAAGACGCGACAAATAAAATGCCACGAAAAAAAAAGTCGCAAAAAAATAGAATGTCGCGAATAAAAAATGTGAAATTAAGCTGCTATCAAGAATCTTCTGTTATTCACGGCTAGTTTATTGGGTTTTTGTTTGAGAAATACTTTGCTTTGGCAAAGTCGGAAATCCGATTTCGGATGGCATCGTTTTCGTTTTTCACCTTGCTTGATGCGGTTTACTACGCTAAGAACGAAGAACGTCAGACTAGTGAACATGTTCCTCGATGTCCGACCTTTTGACTATGTGTTTCTTTTCAGAAGACCCACAAGACTAAAAGATAAAAGGTTACGAGAGCAAATATCCCAGCCGTATGAATTCTTTCCTTAAGTTTGTTAATTTTTTGACACT